TTTCCGAAGCCCTCGATATTTCGCCTTTGCTAACTCTTTCGGAAAACAAAAAGACATGGACTAGAAAGAGAATTTTCCGTGGATTCCAAATATTACTTTATTCTTGAACGATAACCTTTCGTTCGTCCGTGGCAGCCAAATCATTTTCTACCAACTTTTACAATTATATAATTTTAAAAGTTGGTAAAAAAGAATTGCAACCACAGAGTGAATGAAAAGCCATCGTTCAAGAATAAAGTGATATTTGGAATCCACGGAAAATTCTCTTTCTAGTCCATGTCTTTTTGTTTTCCGAAAGAGTTAGCAAAGGCGAAATATCGAGGGCTTCGGAAAAACATCTCTGAAAAATCGAAATTTAATGTTAAGAATCCCCGATTTGCGGAGGTCGGTGGAAAATTGAATTCTGCATCGAGCTGTTGAATCAGAAAAATATTTTAGTTGACGGAAGTGGCTGAATTTACAGATAACTTTCGAAAAATGTTTTCCGAAAAACCTTGGAAAATTTGAAGTTTTGGGGTTTTTTCTCCCTTCCTATGCACTGCGGAATGTTCATTTATACATATTCAGACGTAGAATTTCATTCTGCGTCGAATGACGTATAATTCAATTGGTTTTAAAAGAAAAATTTTCAGGTTTTTCCGAGGTGTGCTGACCGTTTTAGACAAGAGGCCCCCGAGTGTTTTCCGTCATTTCCCCAAAAATTCGACGACGGTTCATGGTAGTACTCTGGGTCTACTTCACGAAATCGTAGAGAGCCCTTCAGACGGACCATCTTCGGTTGCAAAATCCTCTTTGCAAAACGGCCGATGACGTTTTGTCTATGTCTAAAGAATAAACTATTTCTTGAGAACGCTTAACTCAAACAAGTTCAAATTTTTATCATGGATAGTACTCATACCAAGACAGCTCTGGTAAAAATTTAAGCTCATTAGCATTTGATTTGACGAAATTATAGCGTAAGCAAAATTTTTGACTGGAAAATCGCTTTTTTTCCGCATTTTACGACCTTTTTTGCAAGCGCTCTAGCGTCGAGGGAAAGCACTTTGGAAAAAAATGCCAAGAGACAAAAATGTTCAGGACACATTTCTCTATCTGCTCTAAAAATTTGACAAAGATTTGTGATAGTTCATTGAGCAAGCTATGCGGAAAAAGTACGTTTCTATCGTGCACTGCCTCATAAAAGAACGAAAGAAATATTAAAATTTTACTTATTCCTGAAATTTAATTTTCGCATCAAGAGTCGCGTTCCCGATTGATATTCATCAAAGTACCGATCAAATACAGAATTTCCGAAAATAAAAAAATTATTCTCCGGACTCCCGTCGTGAATCATGCCACGAAATAGCTCTTCTGCTCTAGAATCACTATAAGAAGAATGGGTTAGGATCATGGCGCGATTCTAAGAGTTCACCTAGGATTTGATTCTACGGGATTGCGCCATGATGCTAAGAGGTCTAACAAGACCCGCCGTGACAAAATTGCGTCTTATTTTGCGACTCTTATCGCGATCGCGATGCGCAACTTTTTGGCGTGAGTCCCGCCGTGACTTCAGCATGAAAGTTGACATGGATTGACTTATGAGACCTTAACGTCAATTGCGTAAACGATCATACTGCCTCTAGCAGCAATGCTTGTCTTCAGAAAAGATTTACCAATAATTTTAAAAGCTGACAGTGGAAAGATACCACAAGAAAAACTAAAGGGTGGTACGCATCGGTACCGAACAATTGTTCATAGAGTATAGTTTATACAGTCACGGGTGCACACCGATACTAGGAAGAATGTAAAATCTCGCACTGGTGCGCATCCGAATGCGATCAGTGCCGATAAAAAATTATTTTTCAGGATTCGCTCAGGTTTTTAAGATAGAGAAGAAATTATAGTCTAAGACGCAGTGTGCAACTGTATTGTACAATCTGGTAAATTTCAATAAACTGATAAACTCCTCTAACTTCCTCAAATATTAACTGGGAAGATGCTTAAGTTAAAATCCGTCTGTCTTTCGATAGAAGAACTTGAGATAAAAACCTAGACTTAACAATGGATAAAGCTGAGATTTAGAGCTATCGAATGATAAAAAAACATTTTTCTAGCTTTATTTATTTATTTATTCAAGAGATAATGACGTTACAAATTTTTTCTCTTCATTGTTGATTCGCCGCTTACTATGTGACGTAAACTGTTTTTGAGTAACTAACCTGAATTATTTGTTAAAAGTGAACTGGTAGTTGTCTTTTTAATATTAGAATTAAATGGATCAGTCTTCAATTTTTTTGGTGTAAAACTTGCAGTGTTTGAAATGTTGTTATTATTCGCAGAAGTCAACTTTGGATCGCTGTTGTGTTTGTTTAAATCATCGACTGTATCATTATTCTCTTCATTTTTACTGTTTATCTCGATTTTTAGATTCTGATCTAACATTTTTTTTCTAAAAACATATCTAAAACAGAAAAATGAAACAAACTGGTTAAAATATCAAGTTTCTTAAAGTCTCATTTTAAAACCATAATTAGTGTAATATCTTAGACATAATCTAAGAAGAAAACACACGTCTTCTAAAGCCATACGGACCTGATCACAAAAGTCTCTCTGTGACAAAGACTAGAAAATCTTAAACATTGAAGATTTATTTTACTAATCTAAATCTACTTCATGTCTAAAAATGAATAATTTACGAATAGCATTTCATCTATTTCTTGTTTTTAGCTTATTCAGAAATAATTTAATAATTGATGGACAAAAATATGCCACAGATGTTACAATCATCATGTATATCAATAGAATAAAAAATGCCACAATGGATGGTGTCTTTAGTGTATTTATACTTAGATTAACAATTCCAGTCAAAATATTTGCTAATAAAAATACGTCTAATCCTTTATCGTTAATATTTTTTAACAATAAAGATTTTGTTATTGTTTCTTGAGAATTCTGTTCTAAATTAATTAATAAATAATAAATGAGTATAAAACCAAACATACAAAAACAGCCTAATCCACATATACTTGTAATATAAGATAGATTACAAAGTTTTCTTGAACATGTGCCATATAATGAACACATTGATAATAGAATAAATGATATGAAAAACTGAATAAGTTTTTTTGTTTTCATAGTTGAAAAATTTTGTTCTAATTCAATAACATTTCGTCCAATATAGACTCCAGCTAAATATAAACATACATAACCACCAAGTGAATAGATACCCTCACGATTAGCATCAATAAAATTAGTACGTAACGAGGAATAAGAAATTAAATAAAATTCAATATTGAAATATTTTAGTATAATGAATTCGTGGACAATTAAAACACCGAGAAATAGTGAAATAATATGTTGAGATGAGAATAACAGGAATAATAGTGTTGCTATCAGTTTCATAACACACAATATAATAAAAAAATTCCAATGTACACCATATTCTGTAACATGTTCTGCATAAGATAAATATTTGACAGCAATTAATCGTCCCATACCAAGTAAAAATAATACTAAATTTTCAATGAGAATATGTTTTATATAGATAGACAAATTTATTCGCCGTTGTTTTCGTGCTTCATAGCTAACCATTCCATGTGCTAATGAAAATAGTCCAACACCAAGATCCATTCCACTATAACCATAATTTTCTGTTTTAGCAAAACGTCTAGGAAATATATGAAAATCAACACCTAATATACATATACACGTGACAATCATCACTTGTGATCGAAATATTTCAATTATACGAGAATAACCACTATTTGATCGAGTTTCTAGACAATAAAAACAAAATATATACCAATCTTAATCTAATAAAACAGACTAAAAATAAATTTAAAAAAAGAATTGTAAGCATACCATGTGGATGATTGTTTATTGAAGTATTTGATGTCGAATAGTTTTTTGCGATAAAATATAATATAAATGATATTAACCATAGAGATAAATGAAAGTAAAATGTTATTGAGGATAATAAAGTACAAACAAGTACAATCGGAAAAACTAATATGAAATATTCTAATAAATAACTTTTTACTGACTTGTTCCAAATCATTTGTGTTGACCATATGTTTCGATTAATCATATACTGGATTAATTGACACAAGAAATATGTTGCACAAATATTTGATACAATCGACCAAGTTTCAAATAAAGTTGTACCATTTAAATTACTAATAAATTCTTCTTTTTGTTGTTTATAATTTGTATCCATTCGTATTCTAACAGAGAACAAGTGCACAAAATTATTATTCTAAAATACTAATAAATTTGAATGATATCTATAAAAATAAGATCGCTAAACCGTTTAAGCTCTGAAAGATGATAACGTGGAACAAACGTGAATATTTCTGCAGTAAAATTATATAATGACTAGTGATAATAGCTAAACATAATAAAGAGTCTGGAAGAGAAACACCAATTCATGCCAGATTCTCTACGAAATAACAGATCAACATTTGCCAAAGACAATTAAATTAATTAAAAATACTAATGAAAAAAAGAACACCACTAAACACTGTTACAAGAAATGTTATAAATTAATGTAAAAACGGTGATGAAAGACTCATTGGCGCAATAAAGATTTTCTGATCATTAAACCCCAATTTTCCTTAGTTAAAGACAGAGAACTAGATCTTGTTCTAAGTCAAGAAAAGTTTTAAAAATCTTTAATTGCACAAATAATACATCTTAAAAATCTTACTGATCTGAAGCCCAATGATTCTACTCCTAGTTACACCACTGGAAAGACTAGCAAATAGAAATATGATCAAACGACAGTATTTCTTCTCTTTTTTTTCTTCTAAACATGAAGTAGACATAATTGAAAATTTGTATAAATTTGTTATTTTTCTAATTTTTTTTCCTCTAAAGTGTAAACATCATGTCGCTGTTGCGATAGATAAGGTAATTGTTTTCGTACTGTTTTCAAATGTTCTAAATCAATTTCACCATAAACAATCTCTTCATTCATTTCACACTTTCCAATGATAGTACCCCAAGTGTCAACTAAAGTTGTATGTCCCCAAGCTTTATAATCAGCATTTTCATCATGCGCTGGACTAACGCCTGCTACATACATTTGATTATCTAATGCACGGCTTCTAAGTAGAAGTTCCCAGTGTGCTGGTCCTGTAGTCATATTAAACGCTCCTGGATATAATAATAAATGACAGCCACGTTTTGAATACAGTGAGGCTAATAATGGAAATCTAACATCATAACATATGGCTAGTCCCACGCGAAAATCATCCGAAATATCAAATGTCGTTAATTGATTTCCCGGAGCTAATGCATCACTTTCTTTAAATGTTATTTTCCCAGGAATATCAATATCGAATAAATGCATTTTGCGAAATATTCCGATCAATTCACCATGTGGATTGTAAATAGTTGATGTGTTAAACAATTTTCCGGATTCATCACGTTCTGGTATTGAGCCACCAACAAGAAATATTTGATTTTGTTTAGCACAATTTTTTAATGCATTTGTTGTTTCACCTGGTATTGTCTCGGCGTATTCAGGAAAATATTTGACACCATATGGTGAATTAAAGCATTCTGGTAATACAACTAACTTGGCACCTGTTGAAGCTGCTTTACTGATTAATTCACACGCGTGACTAATATTTTTCGCCTTTGACGATGAAACCAATAATTGGATTAGTGCAATTTTGAATTTCGAGGACATTTTTTAACTAAATCTAGAAAAGATTAATGAAAGAATTAAACATTTGCTCGACTCTACAATGAGACCAGAAATTCCATAAAAGTAAAACGTTCGTCCAGCGATAAGAGAAATCTTTGGGAAAAAGGCGTCTTCTTGTTCAAAACTGCGCAAATAAGTTCTGCACACGTATTTTATGTTTATCACTCTATTATTTTTTTGACCCTGAAAAAGTGCAATCGATCTCAAGTCAATGGGCAAAAAACCCAAAAAGTGCGTGGATTGTGACCTAGCTTCTGACGAATCTTGACTAAATGTAGCTAAAGTGAGATTGTTCACACGCCGCGCTTAATATCTTTTACCATTAGAGAGTAGAGATTGGATTGATTAAACAAAATTAATCTACAATCTACAAGTAAAATTTTTTTACAACTGTTATGAAGATTGATATATCAACTTGAAAAAAAGATGTTTAGAACACCACAACGACATATTAGGTCCTCTCTAAACCACTGTCAGACTGACTAACCGCTTATTTCTCTACCCTGAAACGACTATAATGACATCCATATAATAGTTTTTCTAATGGCATTTTTAATCTAAGTGGAATGAACCACTTTGTGCTGAGTTCCAAACTGGCACTTTCCATTTAACTCCATACTACACAGTGGACGAAGTGTTTCAATACAAATTTGCGGCAAGCAACATTTGTATAACAGTCGAAAACAAATGTAGGAGAAATGAAATCAAATATATGTGATGATTTATAAGTGAAACTATGTCACTGAAAACAGTTATCCTGGGGAACTTATAGTGGAGAATAGAAAAAAATGTTGAAAACTTTAATAAGCAAAGTGAATTCTGTATTTTGGAAAATCCTTTTTTCGAATGCCGAGAATCACTTTGCTTCTTCTATAAAGATCACTAGCCATCACAGACACTACATATAAGTATTGAAAGAACCATGCTGAACGGTTAAGTACTCGTGGTATGTTTCAAAAACAATTTCTCCTTAGAGATAGTATATGTTGATTTGTTGTAACTTTTGATATCTTTTAATTTTCATGTTTTTTATTTATTTTCATTCTCATACAAGCAGAATTGAATATGATAAGTTAACAATCGTGTCTAAATATTTCTTTCTGATTAGAGGTGTTAGTCGTGTCTCCGTAACCTATAAGTTAGTCAGATAACGCCTCTAATTCTGTTACCGGTCTCAATCAATTTTCGGTGTCCCATTACGTATTCTGATACACCTTCTCCGCTGATACACGATTCTGTCAATTTCTACACTTCTGGTGAATCTCCGATGAAATATAGTTTTTGTTTTTATATATATTATAACTTGAAGTGGCTCCCTCTTCAGAAATTAACTTTATATAATTAAATTCTGACAATACACTTAGGAATGACAATTTTCTAAATGAAAACAGCTATTTTTTGTGAAGCTTTGAAACTGGAGTTAGAAGAATTTGCTACAAATAATGATGTTTCGACTCGTTTCGAGAAGGTTAGACTTAACGCTTTTTACATGGCGATTTTTTCACGAAAATACAAATTGACGGAACATTATGGTGACTTATATATAATATGAAGAAAGCAAGGACTTTTAATGACAGAAATGAAGATCATTAGTCAGAACTACAGAATCTATCTGTTGGCTCAGACGGTTGTGGGAGGAAAACTTATTAATTTTTATAGGTATTTTGGAAAAAGGAATTCTGTTCGTGTTATGATGGGGAATTTTCTGAAAAACTTTTTCTCTCGAGGAATATTTCCCAATCTCATGGGTAGAATCTGCATCTCTGTCATTAATCGAGTTGAGATATGCATGTGAACTTAGCACATAACAATACAAATTAAGTATTGTTTTTTTGCTGAAAAACGGAACGAAATAGTTTTTACACGGAAGGCTAAATACGATGCGAATTCTCTAAATATTTTTACTGATCTAAGTCGCTCGATCATTTACCGCCCTGCAGTATTTTCAGTAAAAAAATTTTTCCATCTTGGAGTTTTCCACTGTAGAACTAACACTACAGTAGAAAATTTATAGTTAGAAGTTGGAGTTTAATCGAAATTTACTTCACAATCAGATCTACAGTTAGAAACACAGTAGGAATATTATAGTAGAAATCACAGTAGATTCTATTCTCATTAGTGCTCTATATGAACTCAATCGAAGTTATTTTCTTATTTTCACTCACTAACTTCAGATCAACGATTACTCTGTGTAAGACATATATATACACACATGTATGTATACATATCTATATGAAAAACTCGATATTACTGGAATACTGTGCTGTTAGATCGACATTTGAAGTAACTAGTGAGCACCGCACTTAATATACGTTTGGACACTCAAATCAATAGGACAGGTTTATTTAGACACCTGTACCTAATTTTGAGTTAATAAAATTCAAAGTAAATAATATTTGCCTTTAAAAAAACGAATAATTCAGGACTGTTTAACATTAGTTTTTTCGAAGTAGTTAATTTTTTTAAGACTAAGACTGTTTTATTCACGAAAATTAAAAATGATCAAAGGTCACCGACCTGTAATAACAATGACTCAAGCGATCCAACACCAAAAGAGTAATAAAAAATAACAAAATAAAGAAGACAACTAAGATTAGAACCAGAAGTAGTAAAAAAGAATTTTTAAAAAAAGAAAGAAAAAAGAAAAAAGAAAGAAAACATTAACAGAAGATGGAATGCGAACATATCTAGAGTGATGAGGACGTAAAGATGAGTAGTGAGGACGATGAATAGTGTAAAAACAGAGGAGAGAGAGTTAGTTCTCTGTGTGTACCTTCTACATTTGTCTATTGTGAACCGTTTTGTAAATAAAATAAACGGTCAGAAACATTCTTCGATTTAGCATATTCGGATGAATTTCTTGAGTAGTTTTTCATTTTCTCAACTCTTTTTATTGTTTAGTGTGCTATTTGTTAATAAGAGAATGTTCTTCTATACATTCTCGATCAATAACTCAACTCTCTGTAGAGTTTCTTGACTTTTAGCAATTTCACAGCCTGTACAAAACATCAGAAGTCTTGCTTCACACTATGAGTATTAGAACTGCTCTACGTTAATCGAAACGTCTGAATAAAAAATTGAAGTTTATGTGTTCTGTGTTTGTTTATTTCAGATAATTTTCATCATGTCTTCGTCGAGTCAATCATCTAGTCTTGTTTCATTGCAATCATCAACAACAACACCCTATCTCAGATTTTCTCAATTAGAAAAAGATACAGATCTCGATGAACGCAAACCAAATTTTAATCATGAACTGGAACAGTTATTAGCATTTTGGTTAAATGAAAAGAAGAAGAACGACATTTTTGGAAGGTAACCATTATTATTATTATTTTTTTGGATTATGTTCACTTTCTTTCGTTTTTCAGTTTTCGTACAGCTAATTTACATACAGATTGTCTTGGTGAAGTCGACGTTATATCGGATGCTGAGGTGAATACAGCTAATCTGAAACTGAAACATTATTGTTTTATTCCGATTTTTCTTTTCTAGCATATCAAAAAATTACTTAAAGTCCCATTTAATAAACAAAGTCAAATTAGTATGATAGTACACAGAGCTGGTCGTACAATTTTAATCGATGAATTTGATGTACATTCACACTTATTAAGATTAGAAAAGGTAATAGAAACTATTTTTCTAGTGATAATGTCTATATATATATATATACTGTTATTTTAGAATGAATGGGCATGGTTTCGGGATTTTTTTCTTGATACAATTCTTCGTAATATAACAGTAAAACATTTTTATAAGAAAAATAAATCAAGAAATGAATTAATCAATAAAGATCGTTTTGTTAAATTTCTTTGTCAAAGGTAATGTGTGTAAAAAACAACAACACTTCATTCAATGAAGTTCTTCTATCGTTTTTTTCTTTTTCAGTGTTGAAGCACAAGATGAGTCTAGTCTCTCGAAATCTCAATGTATAAATTCAATGTCTGATGAATCGATTTCTCCACCACCTCACAACATTAATAATCTTGTTAAAAATAATACCGACAGCAGTGATAACAATAATAACAAGAGTTTAAATGATAATGATTTGAACGATCCTCAACAAGCAGATAATACAAATGAGACAAGTTTTAATAAAGCATTACATCGTCATGTACTATGGACATTTGAAAATATTAAAATGTTGATTGGTTCAGATTTACCCATATTTGGAGATGAACAACATCCAGCAGTCAGCTTACGATTGAGGTACAAAGAAAAACTTATAATTCAATTCTTTTTTTACTTCCAAGATTATGTCTTCATCAATTTCTGTTCAAACATCGAATAGTCTTACCACTAAATAATAAAAATGATGTTTTTCTTCCAGAGACATGCACAAACCAATTAATGTTTTAACTGGAATCGATTATTGGTTAGATAATTTGATGTGTAATGTCCCTGAATTAGCTATGTGTTATCATTTGGATGGTATAGTACAATCTTATGAATTAATCAAAACCGAAGATATCCCATATCGTGAAGGGTCAAATTTTCCACCTACTGTAATTAGAGATTTGGCAACAAATTTATTATCATTCTTGAAATCGAACGCGACGAAAGAAGGTCATACCTATTGGTTATTCAAAGGTATATGACACTAAATTTAAAAACAAATTCCATAAAACTAATCTTGTCGTTTTTTTGAGGTCCGGATGATGATATTGTTAAATTATATGATTTAACGAGTTTGTGTGAAACCAATCGCGATGATAATCCCTATACATTACCTGTCGCATTATTATTATACAAAATGGCAAGTAATATGGTAACAAGAAGTGATCATGACACTCGTTCAAAAGAATCTGGTACAATTCGTACATTATTAAAACATTGTTTAAACATGTTAGATCCAAATAAATTTCCGGAATACTACTGTGCAGCTGCGTATATGATGAGTGATCTTTACATTGATGATAATGTTAGTGAACAATCTTGGACGAGTGACGGCTCAGAAGTAATGGATCCTGACTCATTAAATGACGATGTAAGTATCGAACAGTGATGGCTACAAAAAGATCTTTGAAAAAGACTAAAGTGATTGTTGAATGTTGTTTAGTTATTATTTGAAAATGAAAAAGAATTTCGTCCGTATACAACTGTCGATATTAATACATTAGTTCAACCACAACAACATCGTTTCAAAAATATACCAGATATGGCACGTTTAGGCAACATTCATGGAACATTGAATGCACGAGCATCACAAGCTTTAAAATATTTAGTAGAGGTATAGTGGTATTTAATCATCGATCGTTACAATAGAATATATATGGATTTTTTTTCTTAATTAAAAAGGCATTGCGTGGTAATGCTATACATCGTCATTCACAAGCAAATAATGATATGAATTCTCAAAGTGAACAAGATCAATGTCAACAAAAATCAAAATTAGTTGTACCATTACAATATAAACCTACAAGAACATCATCAAAAATACTAATTGATAATAAAAATCGTTTAACAGATGATACACGTTTAAAAGCACTTATATTGCATAAAGCGGCAGCAGCATATTTTTGTTTAGCTGATGGAAATGAAAAACTCAAACACTATGGATTGTGTTTACGTTCTCTTCGATTAGCATTAAAATGTCATAGTAAGTCTATGATTATATCAGAAAGAATTGATATTTAATGTTGAAAAAAGTGACGAAAATGTAAATTGTTTTCTTCTATATTGTTCTAGGTGCAAAAATAAAACTTCAAATATCCGATACAGAAGCTAAAAAATTGTTATCCTACATTATGAGTATTGCCGGTGATTGTCGTCGAATGATTGCTCATACAACATCATCAGAAGAGATAGATAAATATCGTGAACAGTATAATTTAGATAATGAAATTGACAAAGAATTTGAAAAAGTCACCAGTGAAATAACCGGAGAACAAACTGGTAAACTCATTTTTATTCTCATCTTAACAAATAATAGAGTTAAATGTTTCATTTATTTTTTTAGAATTCAGTTGGGTATCTGAATTAACACCAATGATAGATCGAAATCTCTTTGCAGCCGTTCATTCATATGAATATGCAATTAATTTAGTTAAAAATCTTGGTGATAACGAGAGAAAACGTTTAAATTTATTAACAAAACGATTTGGCAATGTTAGAAATGAAATGGGCTGTTTTTACATGAATAAATGTGAACAAGCGGTGAAGAGTATTGGTAAATAGAGAAATAAATCATAAAACTAAATTTCGTGTCTATTGTATCTTACTTAATATTAAGATCAAGAAACAAGTAAAGAAGTAAAGGAACTATTTCGAAAAAGTTTCGAAAGTTTTGATAGTGGTATACAAGCATTTGAATCAATTAATGATGTTTTAAATATAGCATTGTTGTATAATAATCTTGGACGTTTAATGAGATTGTATGCACAATTTTATGCACCAATTGTCAATGGTACAAGAGGAGAATTTTCACAACAAGAACGACAATATTATAATAAAGTACGCCATTTAACGCTTCTTTGTTCACGTATATTTTCTTCAACTGAGTAATAAACTATTTAAGGCATTCGATTACTATCTGAAAGGATTGAAATTAGTTGAAAATCGTGGTGATTTACATAAAACATTATCATGGGAATTAAGTGGGGCTTATTATACATATGCTACTATGTTACAGGATTATGCTCCATTGAGTACACATCCACAAGAAGATGTAAGTTCTACTTCTATTATTCACAATATATCGTTCAATGTTGTTTGTTTGTTTAGATCGAAAAAGAAGTAATTGATTCTATGACAAAATCATTAAAATATTTAGAAATTGAAACATTATCATCATCCTCTGATCGTAATTCATTAGCAACATATCGTGCAGCAACAATTCATCATCGTCTAGCATCACTTTTACATAATGCTTTACGACATCAAGTAAATATGAAAATATATTTTCTGCTCACAATATCAATTAAGACATTCTAATTTATGTATTTAGGATAGTAAGATCAAACGAAAACATTTACGTTCATTAGCATCATTACATTATCAAAAAGCATTGAAATTATTCTCCGTTCAAGAAAATCCGCTGGAATATTTACGTGTACTACTTGAAGAAGTGGCACTTGCAGATTATGAATTGCAAAGTAAGTAGTATATTTTTTTCCTATATGTTCATTTATATAAATGTAATCATAAAAATATGTTTTATATAGATGCTACTGAGAATCCATCTCGTTTCAAATATGCGCAACAAGGTTTAAAAGCAGCATTTCAATGTCAAGAATGTATTGAAATAATTGAACATAATCGTTCAAGTGAAGATTCAGATGATTATACGGAAAAATTTTCACAAGAAGCCTATCGTTTATTAACTATACTAAATGGACGAATACAAAGTTTTTTGAAAGAAATTGTTAAAATTTCAAAAACAACAACCGTAAAGAAAAAGTATGCCGTTTTTCTGTATAAAAATAGATGATGATGAATTTTTGTGTTGTTTTTAGATCAAATGAAAATGAGAATACAACCGTTTTTGAAGATTATAAAGAAATGTACAATATAGCATTAAGATTAAACGAAAAATCGACTACATTTCCACGTGATTTACTACAAGCATTTGAACGAATGAAAAAGATCTATGATAAACACAGTGTAACAATAAATGACTGAAGATCATTCTGTTGCTGTTTTTTAATTTTATTTATTCAACATATTATTTATAAGATGTTGTTTATCTGATTCTTTCTACGGTTTTTTGTGAGACCTCATATATTTTCATTATTTTTTTTCTTCATGTTCATGTTGACTCATGTCTATGTAACTTGGTTTCTGTGAATTTATACTTGACCATAGTCAAGATGAAAATCAAGCGTAACGATCTCGTTGAGATCATATTTATGCTATTGTCTTTAGATGGTGCAGAATGCGTTAGAAAAGAGCGAGAGATTGCTAACCCATATGATAATTTTTTTTGTCGCCCAGATCATGTTCACGAAATGGCTTACCAAACGAATATTTGAAATTTGAACCTGACTGCTCGCATAGCAATAGAAGAAAAAAAATTTACGCTGAAACATGTGAGAATGCAAAAGAATAAATACATTCTTTCCCCACAGATATGACGCGTAGAATTGTTATGACTCATACACAGATGTGAACACGTTTTTTCACATGAATTTGAAAACGGACATTTCAGATAGTGAGCACAAGCTGTGGATACCACTAACTATCACGCGTGGATTCCAAAAAACATTTTTCTAAAGTCCACGCCATGAACTTAGTATACAACGGAGACAGCAAAATTCTACAACATAGGAAGTTTTTACTGACGTTTTTTCAGGTAGAGAGAGTCCTCACGCAGCACGTTTTTTGTGCTGTTTCTTCCGTCATCGTGTGTATAAAATTTTGTGTTTATTGATAGATAATCAGGTAATGAAGCCATTCTCCATGGACATGAGTAATAAATGCATCATTAACTTCATTATCCTGGCCTGGCTGATCAAATGAATAGACTTCATCATCAACATCGAACAACATCGTCACCAGACTTAATTTCTACTCGGAAAAAAATACAATTTCACGTTTTTCCCAGGTAGAATTTTCATTCATTTTTAAGTGATCTTTTCAATTATTTTCTTTTTTTCTAGAATCAAAGCATTTCTATCCACTCGTTATGGTTTAATCACTTCTGTTGGATTATTTGTCGTTTTCTTTAATGAAATATTTATTTACCAATATGCTCGATTTTGTTGGCCAAATATTAAACATTTAAAAACGTAAGAAAACTATTCAGTACTAAAAAGTATTGTATGAATAGGTTTATCTATTTTAGATCTAATGTTGAAAAACTTTTGTTAGTTGCTGATCCTCAATTGATTGGAGAGAAAGATGAAGGTTTATTTGGAATGATTACACGTCGAGATGCTGATAGGTACTGTTTTTTATATTTAAATAACTTCATATGTAATCTCAATTCTTCTTTAGCTTATTCGTAACATTCTTTGTCTATGCATAAATTTTTATCTTCTAAACAAAGCAGTTTATCGATAATGCATATTAATATAACACTTTTTTTATCTTTTAGATATTTATCAAATACATTTGCGCAAGCAAAGTCATATTTAAATCCGGATTGGACACTATTTTTAGGTGATATATTTGATGAAGGTCTATCGGCAACAGATGACGAATATAAACGCTATTATACCAGATTTCAAAATATATTTCAGTACAATGATAAACAACAGGTTGAAATAACATGGATACTCGAAGATTTAAAAGATGAAACAAGAAGGACAGAACAATATTCTTGTTTTGGATTGAAAGACAGATCTTACGTTTCTATCAATCATATGTTCATAAAATAAAAAAGAGACACCTAAAATTTTAGAATCATTTTTAATTCTAGAACTGTTTTTAATTGATTAGTTTTGAGCCTTTTTTTCGGTAAGGAGCAAACTGACTTACAGTTTGGATTCACGATTAGGTTGAGAGTGGGAGGGACTATCGTCTGGTAGAAAGCAGGTCCGCAAATTTGAGCAAAAAGTCAGTTTTTTTCCTATCAGGATAACTAATAAAAATGTTAATCTGACGGGCTTTGTAGAAAATACTAAGATACTCTTGTAACATTATTTTACTTCTCATAAATTGAAGTCTCTCTTGTTCGAGTATATTAGATCAAAAAAGAAAAAGAAAGACACACCTTATTTGGTACGGTTTAACTTGAATAGAAAAAAGGAAGTGCGGAGACGAGACATAAGATGTACAACTACGTTTTACCATGAAGCGACACAGAAAGGTTAAAAAGCGGACGTTATTGGCTTTATCAAACTCTCCTGATTAGTCCAATTGCTGCAATAGAGCGAATAATATAGCACATAGTAACTAGCGCCAAAAATTCCTTTTACTAGCAAGCCTCCCAAAAGTCGTTACAGAAAGTCATCAAATTTGAGAGGGGAAAGCATACACATACATACACTATCTCCTCCCTAATCGGGAGGCCTACTTAGTTTAAGCTATTTTTATTTCAAATCAACTGAAGTTACCCAACACTAGTAATTCGACTAACGAGGAAACCTCCCGAGGTGATAAATCGCTTTTTGATCGGCATCCAGTGGGTTATAGGTTATCGACCATGCTGATGCCGAATATGACCATGGGGCTTCCCCATAGCCCTTCGAAGATCCAGTCTTCTAGAAAACCAGTTTTTCTGAAACTCCAAAAAATAACCCAAACCTTTCTTAACAATGCAGGATTGTAGCGCGCAAATTTCTGATTAAAATGAAACATCCCCCAGCTCTACATGACCTTTCTTTGCAAAGTCACAGAGTTTATAAGAAGAGCCCTAAATTGTTCATTGTCGGCTCAAGCTACAGAAATAATTAGTTTAGGGCTCTTCTTATAAATTCTATAACTTTGCAAAGAAAGGTCACGTAGAGCTGGGGGATGTTTCATTTTAATCAGAAATTTGCGCGCTACAATCCTGCATTATTAAGAAAGGTTTGGGTTATTTTTTGGAGCTTCAGAAAAACTGGTTTTCCAGAAGACTGGATCTTCGAAGGGCTATGGGGAAGCCCCATGGTCATATTCGGAATCAGCATGGTCGATAACCTATAACCCACTAGATGCCGATCAAAAAGCGATTTATCACCTCGGGAGGTTCCCTCGTAAGTCATAAGATACTAGTGTTGGGTCTTAACGCACGGTCATAGTGCTATACAAACAAAAACAAAAGGCCCACTTACAATAAATAATTTTTTTTTGAGAAAGCTGTGATATCTTAATGTTCAATTCCTTCGTTTTTGCTTTACTACTACAATGCTAGGGTTAAACGGTTGTAACTCTTGTTTCTAGTCAGCAAGGTTTTATTACATAATGCGCATTTCATGAAAACAAGCATGTAAAAATAATACGACGAGTACATTTGTTCGGACTACATCTCTCGCTGAATTTTGGTACATTCTCGGACAACGGTGTGCATAATCGTTTTTTTATTTTTTGTTAATCTAGAAATCAATTGTCATACCAGGCGACAATGATGTTGGAGGAGAATATTTTGGCGATAAGAAACCGTATTTAAAACAACGTTTTAAAAATTATTTTGGTCGAATTATTGCACTTTATGAACAAAATGATGTTGAATTTTTGAAAGTATGACTTTTGGTTGTTAATATTCTTTTATTATTTCTACTTCTTTTACATTGTATTTAGTTAGATGTCGACATGTATGAGTCATATGTCGATAACAAACGAAGTATGATTGGCGAACAAACGCAACATCGTTCAATGAAATCTAAATTTCGTATTATTTTGAATCACTGGCCACTTATTAGTCGTAGCGTTCGCTTTGTCAAACCATTCGTCGAGGAATTAAATCCAAATCTTATACTGAGAGGTGATAGCCATCAAGTATGTGTCATTTATCATTTATTTGAGTTAAATTTATAATTTTTGGTCTTTTTCGTTTAGTTTACTCTTTCTACACATGATCGATCGACCAGTCTCACTCGACTTATTGCTCGTGATACAGTACCTAATGAAATTTTGCCATTGAACGTGAACGACAGAAGATTTATCTACGAAATATCAATTCCAACATGTTCTTATCGTATGGGGGTGCTAAAAATTGGTTATGGCGTTTTATTACTCGATGCTTGTAAAATACTTATTTTTCAGTTTATGATCGCAACCTCGATCATGTTTACCTTGATTATGTTTTCTTTTAGCAACACATACAGCACATTTAACGATTTTGTGGACACCTCGACGATATTTGGCATTGTACATTTATGCAGCCTATGGAATATTTATTTTGAGTGTTCTTTTACTAGCACCAATAATAACACGTCGAACAATGATGCGCTGGTTCATAATAACGAGAAGATTTAAAATGTTTTTTTTTAGAAAATGATTTTTGTTTACATTCCGTTTTGTATATTACTATAGTTTTGAGGCTTTATCTCATATTTTTTATTATTCGTACTGTTTTGATAAATATTTTTTTGTATATTTTGTATACTTTAGTTCTAAGAAGTCTATTTTGATGCAGGATGTAAGCATTGATTGTACTAGATGGAATAAGTGATCAACAATTCATCTACTCAGTACTGCAGCTGTCGCGATGCATCAGAATTTCTCAAAACGCTGAATGACCATTAATGTTAGAGAACTTAAGTAGCTTCATCTACCCTAGTGATTTGTATAAATTAAGGGTATCCCCCTCTTTTTTGAAAAAATTTCGGATTTTGAGCTGAGCATAGCCTAATGTAGATGAAAGTGTGGACTACAAAATGAGATCACTCCCAGTACTCGACGATCTCTCTTCAAAAAGTTATGCATTTAAGTTTTCTCTTCAAAACCTAAAACAAACTCAATTTTTTGTTTTCTCTTTTTCTGTACATTCAAAATTTTTCTTATACATAGTCTGATAGAAGAAAGTGTTTTCTTTACAATGAGATGTCTCCCAGAATTTTCCGATGAGTTTTCGTGAAGATATAAGCATCACAGCAAATGCCCTGAAAAAAGTGGCCTATGTACAAAATGCGTTTTTTCTCGAAAACTATGTTTTTCCCATCGGACCTCATTGGACCACATTACGACCTCCCTTAAATTTCATCCGATCGAGTTATAGAATTTCTAAAATTGAACAACTTGGTTTTTAAGACGTTTTTCAGTATTTTTCCTATAACTCGACCAAGAAAGGTCTTAAAAAAATTTCCAAAAATATAACTTTGCGATATTACCTTGAGTACCTCTGGTAAAAGTTTTAACTTGATTGGATGAAATTTAAGGGGAGTCGTAATGTGGTCCAATGAAAAACTGAATTTTCTGAAAAACTTGTGAACGGCAATTTAAACACTCGAAACAAAAACGAAAAAGTGCTCCATTGAGTTTCCAATCAGTTCTGAGAATATGAAGTCTTAGTGAGTTTTAGTTTTTATTTCACAGCATTTCTACGGAAATCCCAAAAAGAGGGGAGGGATACCCTTAAGGGGGCCCCCATTTAGAGTTTCCTCTGACGTTCCCAGTTTGTAGAGGATACTTCTAAGTATATGTCCTGAAGTTTTTTCGGCTTACTGACATTATTTGACTGAGAAAAAATATCGTTAAATATTGCTAGGACTATTATTAAAACAATTCCTGTCCGTTCTCCATTCATCAGAAAAACTCAGTTCTTGCCTAGATCGATAGAGAAATATGCGGAGAATATTTACTACGAGAAAATATGCACAAATTTTTGTTTTTTCCTTCCTGTTATTGACACTCCTGTTGTTGACTAATTAGTGCTAATTAACGTTACTTTAGCCTACTCTTCTAGCTTAAAGTCCCATTTGTAAAATAATGATTCAACGCAAAAATTCAAGCAATATCTTATCTGATGGAGAATTTCACGGGCTACAAGTTGGGCTACCTTAAAATTCAGTTCTGGCCGCTCGGTAAGTCGAAAATTTAACAATATATTTTTTTCTTTTTTATAGCTGTGTAAGATGCAAGACCTGACTCTTTTGAATGTATCCGTATTTAGTTATTTAAAAAGTTAATCTTATTAGATAGACTCTTAATTAAAGAAAACTGTTCGCTTTCATCTACCCATGTGGAAATTTTGATACCCTCCACGATGTGAACACGGGTTGGCATTTTTTCCCACGTGTGTACACGACAAAATAGTCTTGTTTTTGAGAATTCTACGTGTGAAGGCGCGTGGATGATAATTTTATGTACGCGAACAGGCGTGGATAGGAAAAGATTCGGTGCGTTCACACGTGAAATATTTCCTTGACTCGTGAACGAACGTGGAAGATAATTTTGCATAGGGAAACACGCGTGAGGTATTATTATTTAACGTGATTCCGAGTGTAACAACATTTTTATAAATGTTAATGGCACAACTCACTACTTTTTCAAATTTTAGCTAGTGAACACGGGTGACACACTTTCTTTCGCGTGTGAAAATGGCAAATTCATGTCATCACTCGTAGCAACTCCCGAAAATCAGTTATTATTTGTGTTCACACTGGAAAGGATAAGTAATTGATCGTTGACACGCGTGAAGCATTTAATTGAAGCGCATTTCTCTCAGTTAAATTATTATAAATTCGGTCATTTTAAATGAAAAAATCCGAGTGGGTCGATTCGCGCTCAAATGCACCCCCGCCCTTTTGCTTACTTTCAGTTGGAAATGGATTTTTCAAAATATTTTGAACCAAATTTCGCTCAAAGGAAGCATTCTCAGGAAAACTGTGGGTACAAAAGTTGTTCAGAATCAGATTCCCTGGACTATGAACGAAGGATTTTTAAAATTCGTTAAGTTCGATTTTTCAATTGAATTTTCCTAAATTTTAAAATTTTCAAAACCGTTTTTCAATTTAAAAATCGAGTTTAACGAATTTTGAAAAATTCTTCGTTCATAGTCCAGGGAATATGATTCTGAACAACTTTTGTACCCACAGTTTTCCTTGAGAATGCTTCCTTCGAGCGAAATTTGGTTCAAAGTGTTTTTATAAATACTTTTTGATTAAGCAAGCAAAATTAGTTTCTCTAAGCAGATTTCTATGGTCGATATTTTACTCGGGAGGTAGCTATTTAATCAACCAAAACTGATTAACTGAGGTTATCTCCGATATGTGTGTTTAGTAGGGAATTGAGAGGTAAGCCAATATGACTTTCACTAAACTGCGAAAAGTCAGTGTACTTTCACCAAATAGACTTTCTCGGGAAAGTCATATTGGCGTACATCCATGATTCCATTTAGTACCGCACGAGTTTTATATGTCTAACTCCTTTCAAGAAAACTCAAAGAAGATCCTGAGATCGGAATCAAGTCTATGGAGCACACTTCCTGATCACCACTAGTGTTCTGATACTAATCAAGCGCAGATAGCCACTTACTCAGACACGGTCAGCTAACCAGGCACTCAGAAGTAATAAACTCTACAGAGCAATACAACAGGAAATTACTCATAAACCAAGTCACTGGCTTCGCATCTAACTTTGATCTTAAGTTACTGTTTCACTCGCTACATCGAGCACGGATTCAAATGGAAGCGGACAATATCATATAAACTCGAAATTTAAACAAAATGATTAAAAAAAACTGACAATTAAATATAATTGCGAGCATCAATGATAAAACTCACTATTGAATGTGATTACATTTTGAAACTGAAATATCACATAAACTTTTAACATTGAAAAATTGCGAAGTAGCCAATCATATTCTTCAGATATTCAGTACATCGTCATGAGCATCACTTGCATTCTCAAACTGATTTGAAATATGTAAATATGTACTCTTCGTAACGTGAGTCATCTTTTTGCGTAGATACAGTTAAGAGATAAAAAAGAAAGATTGTTTATAGACTAATCGAGACAATGCGAATTAAGAGCTCTCAAAACAAATATTCCATGAGCTGCATAAGTGTACAACTCCAAATATCATCGTAATGTCTACGTCTTCTTTTGCTTAGTTATGGAACTTTCTTATTGTGACTTTACCGCATAAAGCTGCGCTAAATATAGATCAGTGGCGTCCATCCTGTGGTATCTTTGAGACAAATTTACCTGAAATAGAACATCTTGCGGGAGCATTAACTCTGACTCGAAAAGAAAGAAAACCTAACTCATCGATCTAAAATCTTAAATTAAACAATGAAGTTTTATTCTAAAAGTTTGCTAGTAATCGTTAAACATCCCATACCATAGAAAAATGTGCTGCATGTCATAGAACACATTTATAATACTATGACAGAAATGTGGCGTGTACGCAGGCTAGAGATGTGCATGTGCATAACCATTACCGTCACCATCATAAAGAATACTAGCCACGAGCTTTCAGATTAGAGAAGCTGAGAAGAAAAATATGTTTACAAAAAATGATAGCTTTGCTTATTCAGCTCGGTATCCACTAGTGGTGCTGATAGATAATCGATCAACCTGTTTATTAAAAACCTATAGCACAAAATGCAAACTTTAATCTTTGAAAAAAATTACCTTGACCATCATTAACCTTACCGAATAACCTTGGTCACGTGTATCTCTAACGCAAGCATTTGTATAAATGTCATGTATGACGGTACGTGCGATATGACATGAAATGTATCGTATCAACAAGTGTCTTATAACAGGTCACATTCAATATTGCCTCTGCAGAAAACACATTTGTTGTGTCCTGCAATGTATCTCTGATGAACTGTGTCCTGTTTCATCCAGCACATCTATATATAAACTCAAAATTTTACTTAAACAATCGAAAAATTTGTCGATATAATTTGTTGAGGCTCGAGTCTTGATAATTCAATGCCGTCGCAAGAAAAATATATTCTACAATTGAGTGACCTGACTGCAATCAGCTTTTACGAATTCTTCACAAAGACGGTATAAAAGGATTGAAATGTTGTGTCACTTTACACATCTTCTTAGGACCATCCAAAGAAAAACTAAACGATACATTTTTTTGCTTATATTTCTTCAAAAATGAGCTAAAGTAGGATGGATATGTGCTGGGTACATTTATGTGCACTCGTAGGTGCCACATTTTTTTCGATGTATCGGGCACGTCAAAAGGGAAGGCAATCAAAGCAATAGTAGGGTAAGATAACTGGACAAAAACAAAAATATAGCAGAAAACAAGTGCAAAAGGAAATTGTCTGCCGTAAAAAATCAAGTTTTTCCATAAACAGAAGTACAATAGTTAGAACACACTGTCTATAAAAATTAGGGTGTCCCTTGTCGTCTTGATCTGATTCAAATTGTGGCAATATGTTCATTTATGTACCCATGTGCTTAATAAGGCAACTTAATACAGGCAAAATCCCGACGGTTACCGGGAGGTATACCGCCATAGTAAACGAAAATACCGTCCGGTGTACCGACAGTAACCACACGGTATGTCACTGTATACCATCGGTATAACCAGCGGTACCGTCTGGTATTTTATTATCATTATGAACAAGTAGAACAGGAGTTCGAAACTAATTTCAACTTTCTTTTTTTATTGTTGAGCACTTGTAATCACAGACGGGCTCCCAATTGAGAGAAATTTGACTCGAGTCGAAGTTCAAACTTCGACGAGTCTATAAAAAAAGTAAAAGAAAAGTTTAATCTGAAGAAGAAATCAAGTTTCTCGAATTTTTCTGTTTCTTTTATATCTTCAAAATACAATGGTGATGAATACCGTTTTTATTCATTTTATTCACCGTGCCACGGTCTGATAAGTTACCATCAGTTAGTTGGTATTTTGTTGAACCGATGATATTTTAAAAAAAGTTCGATATCGGTATTTCATACTTATACTGTTAGTGAAAAGCAGTGCTTCTTTTTCTGTGATTCATAGTGGGATGTACAGAAAATTTTATTTTCGCGGAATATGACTATGAATTTGTACACATTTTTGTGAAAACTTTCCACGCGATCTTTCGAAGGATGAGTAAGAAGAAAGTTTGAGTTTAAAGGATAAAAGACTATTTTTATCGTAAGATCGGAGTCATGACTATGTTTTGATAAAGATTTTTTTGGTAAGAAGTCTACTCATTTATTCTGGTGTAATAGAAGTTAATACTGATGTTTCATATGTGACCTGTGCTTGTTATCAATCTTTCGCTTGTTATCAAAAGTTCGCTTAAAAGATAACAAAGATCATCTTCTAAGTAGGATGATATGCCACGGTACACGGTGCGCAATTTTGACTAAGCATGTGGACATGAGTTTTGAAAGCAGTCCAAACGTATCTAAACCATTTTCTATAGGTTTTCTAGACGCTCTTTCCAACCGAATGGTTTTCGAGTTTTAAAAAAGTTTTCCAAGGGGTTTTCCAGAGACCGGATCTCTCCAAACCACTTCAAAAACCATTCCATTGGAAAGAGCATCACTAAAAACCTATAGAAAAATATTTTAGAAGCGTTCATGATTTTAAATCTTGACTTTTAAATTTTCGGGCCAAAAATTCTACGTGCCGATCCCAAAATCTAAGAATTCGATAAGATTCAAAAGTATATATCCAAAACCCAAAGAATTATACGCCATTCGATGCAGTTTTTTAAGCTGATTTTGAATATGCAATTGGTTCTTGGTTCTGATGTTTCTGAACTGCGAGGACTTGATTTTACCTCAAAAATCTCTCCCAATGTAGGGAAGCGTTTGAGCTATTTTGGGCTAAGTGCACAGACGTATCATATAAAGAAGAATATTTTCTGAAAGTTTCAGCTTCGGTGGACATTAGGGGAATTTAGGGCCCCAACTCTACTAAAATTACTTTTGCGAAAAACGCTTAGTCTCCGGAAAACTCTTTTTTCTCCTACCAAAAACTAACTAAAATTAAAAACTTTTTTTATTAATCGATAGCCTGGAAACTCAGCTTTCAGAGTATGTGTGTTTCATTTTTTCTGAAGTTCGTTCTGTTGACAGAAAGAGCAATATTTTTTAAAAAGGCCACACAAACCGAGCTATAAATTGTAGCTTACTTTTCTCGATCATCTTAGGCACTAGAGCCAAAATTTTTTCACCATTAAATAGGCCACTGATCGTTGTATATATAGAAGTCATTGAATCTCTAAAAATCTCACTTTCGTTTTTTCCCCAAATGTCCACATTGTTGTGCACTGTGCGGTATCATAATCCTTAATGTGCTAATCGTTTAATATTTTGTTCTTGTAAACACCAGCAACAGAGCTGGGAAAGCCACGGGTTTTCCAAGTCACAAGTCAAGTCAGGTCATCAAAGCTTTTCTCAAGTCAAGTCCAGTCATGAGTAATAAAAAATTTTCACCAGTCAAGTCAAGTCTCGGGGTTTTCCAGATCAAGTCAAGTCAAGTCACAAGTCGAATAGATGTAAAGAACAGTATAACTGGCAGTTAGTCAAGGTCTTGATTTTTGAAAGCACTCTTTTCTATTACTATATAATTATAAACAAACGATACATGCGTTGGACGGAACCAAACTAACTCTTCGGATCGGATCCTCTTCGCTAAGCATTCAGACAGAAACACTCTCGAGAAATAGGGTTCGCCAGCTAAAATGTAGCGCTCTGATGGATGATGAACGAAAGCATGAGTGTAACGTAACATATCGTAATTTGGCGTAATCCTATACTCCGTAACACTGCGGCCGTAAACAACCTTTTACGAGACCGTTTACGACCGTAATGGACTCGTATACGCTGGTTTACGGCGCCCGTATTACGAAGCATAGGATTGCGGCGTCATAAATCGATCTTACGGCCGTTTTCGGGCTGTGTGTAATCACCTGAGTACTCTTTTCTGCAGCCATGTTGGGTCGCGATAAAGAACTTTCTTCGTTGAGAAATCAAATCTACTGAAATAAAAACTTAATTTCGAATAAATCAGTAGTTTTTCAAACATCTTTCAGAGCACTATACTCTAGCACATCATAAACTGAAAAGTTCAGTTCACGACAGTTCACTAATAGCCGTGATGTCGCCAGAGAATAGACACTATACGATTGACTCACTTCCATTATGAGTCACTGCGAAATAGTACAATTTCCTAGATTGCTGTATCTAAATTTATAAAAGAATCATATCGCGCCTTTTATTTATTATTCTTAATTTATTAATGCTAGTGATGAATAGTCTACGTCTCATTGGCTAATTATATTAACCAATGACATACAACAGTATAATATATAAGCTAGCCATCAGATGAACTGCAATGGGTGGACTAGACTGAAAAAGCGGTAAAAAGTAAACTCATTTGGTTCAGATGAGTGACGTTTTTGCTATGTTGGGTTCACATTTGCATGCTGACCTTACACTGTAAAAAAACAACGATAAAAACGTTGAAAGTTACAATAAAAACATTGATTTTTTGCAATATTACACTTTTCTCGTCAACTGCAACGGCTTCAATTTGACATCACCAAATTAGTCATCCAGTGATTTCTTTCTTGACATTATCAGATCTGAAACGTACCAGTTTTATGTATTTTTTTACTATGAATCATATATTCTTTAACTCTAGTGTTTCTATAAACTGAACTGAGAAAATTAAGGAACGGTTATTTCGCTGTTACTTTTACTAGTATCTCGTTTTCTTTCTTGTTTCTTTACAATATCTGAAATAACCAAAACGAAGTTCTGCACTGTCTACAAAGTTCAAGAACTTGTGACCACAAAAGCGATAGTTTTTTGCTTAGGTCTACGAAGACAATGATGCAGTAAAGATTCGCAAAAATAGGACCTTAATAAGTTCAAAACAGTGTTTAGGAGAAAAAACACCTGCTAAAACCTATATTTAATATCACTGATTTTCTTTGTTTTAATCTTGTATTTGTATCTCGAACTCAGAAAAAGTGATGCAACAAAACTTCCTTTTCCTTTCGATTCTACTCGTCAAAGACTTGAAACAGAACCTGGCTGCTTCTCCGATGAACGATAATCATTGCGGGAACCCAGATAATAGTAATATTACAGAAAGTTCATCTCTTTTATATAATGTAACGGAAAAATTCAGCAATAAACGGTAGAAATATGCTGCAGAATGGCTTTACCAATATTTATCGCAGTAAAATAACATTCTAGGCTGTTGAAAAAATCCAACAGAAAAAAATGTTACATGTAACGGTGAAGATGTGTTGTTACTTTCATACCATTAGTCGATTTTAACAAATGAAAAAGTTTTTAGAATATACTTAGATGTGACTCAGACACGAAAAAAAATGTATAATGCCACGCGAAAAATGTATATTATTTATTGTAATGTTACTTGTTTTTACAGTTCATCTTACCATCGTCGATATTCAATATATGTAACTTAATTACTAGGGATAGAAATAATCATAATAATAGTGATTCAGTTTTAGTTGTAAGCTGAAAAACGGTAGTTTATAATGCACGACTATCGTTAGATGGTTTGATTTGCTGGTCCGAGATTTTTAATATACTTTCATTTTATGAATATCTTGAAGACTTTATTTCACAGATATTTAACGTATTTTATTTTTGTTCTAGATTTGAAATCTCTGCATAGTTATGATGTGAATTTTTTTTAATAAATAAATTTTATTAGTGCTTAGACAAAAAGTAACGAACTATATAGTTTTTTCGTTCCATGATTTGTAGCTATTTGTTTGATTCTTTAGAGAAAGAAAAACATACAATGAAACAAACATTTGTCAATGATATAAGTCGTCAGTTAACCACAGCTATATTTTCAAGTGGTTTAGCAACAAAAGTCATTTGTGTCCTATGTATATTGGGTTATCTACTATCATTTAGTCCACAATGTGTTCGTGCCTTAGCCGTTATTCCAGGGAAAATAATGCCGCCCAATTTTTGGATATGGACAATATTAACTCATTCGTTTATTGGTAATAGATGAACGATGTTTTTTTCTGTAATATTTCATATTGGAGTATTATTTTTTTCTTTTCAGAGATACATTTATGGCATACATGTCTTGATGTTATTGTGGTATTTTTATACAGTAAAATGATTGAACCATTATGGGGAACAAAAGAGTTACTCTCATTCTATTTTCTTGTGACAATCCCAAATGCCATTTTTGCCACGTGTATTTATTTTATAATTTACATGGTTACATTTAACGAAGAATATTTATTTGAACGACCAATTTATGGTCTTGCATCATTCGTTGGAGCATATTGTGTTGTTATTAAACAAATAATGCCGGACACTGTTCTAATTTCAACACCATTTATGAAACTCAAACAAGATCATATTCCATTATTAATTATTCTCATATCAACAATATTATATGTCATTAATGCGGTTCCCATTCATTTTTTAATTATGCTCTCCTTTGGAATATTCATTAGTTGGACTTATTTAAGGTTTTTTCAATTTCATAAAAATGGCACAAGAGGTGATCAATCAAATACATTTTCATTTGCAAGGTAAGACAGTTACGTTTTTCTATTTAGTACACTACGATCTTCTATCTTTGCAAATTGAGATGGCTAACTTCTGATAGACAAGAGAAACATTAGTCAGAAATATTTCCTCAACACAATCAATCTTTTTCTGTCATATCAATAGTGGAATCAGATTGCAAATCGTTTATCTAAGTAACAACAACTCGCTCATGACCGTGATCAGAATTTGTTTAAGAGAAGTGAACAGGCATGCATCGGTTTCGGTAATGATCGGTTAAAAACCGAAACTGGTGCATGCCTAGAAGTAAATCACTCTCAAAAAAGTACTTTTTACAAAGAAGGAAATCTAAGATCTGAATTCAATCTCATTTTACTCATTAAAAAATACGTTTATTCATTTAATCTAATAATTTCTTTATTTTATTTTCTGTTTCAGCTTTTTTCCGCCACCGATTCAGCCCTTTATTAGCGTTCTAGCCAATACGATCTTTGAAATATTTGTACGTGTTAAAATATGTAAACCATTTGTAAAAAAGTATAATGTTGCTCCACCATCATCGATTACCATTACAATTCCTGGAGCTGAAGCAGCCGATGCTGATCGTAGAAGGTAAGACGAATAGTTGATTATACTTCGAAAAAATCTAAATTTCAGAGAAAGTTAGAAAATATACCATTCGTCTTTTGAGATATCATACCACAATTTTCTTTTATCTGGACGAATACCTCGATCACCACTCAAATCTTTTCTATAAACAACAAGCGTGTTGACATATAATTTAGTATTCTTGTTTTTTCTTTTATAGACAAAAAGCTCTTAAAGCATTAGACGATAGATTGAAACAATCATCAGAAGCATGGCCGGATATTGACGAGAATGCGTCAACAAATATCGCAGCACAAACCCATCAGATACATCCAACTACAAGTTCATCAAATTCACAAAATATTACCAATACAATAACGACAAATAGCATTGTGAGCAATGTTAACAATGCTCCCATCACTGACTTAAACAATTCAACTAATAATAATAATCCAGAATACCATGAACAAACGACGACTACCCAATAGCTCTCTCTGTTTGTGCTTTTTATTTTAAACTCTTTTTCTTTCAATCAAAATTCTTTTTATGTTTCTATTTGTATCATTTTTCTTCTTCTTCTGTTTTCTGTGTAATAGGACATTCCAATGCATAAATTACATTCACGTTGACTAATCTCAAATTTCTTGTAACCATTCCTTTTGGTATAAGATTCGGAAAAAAAATGTGTTCTGCTCTCTCTTATACTGGATAATTACTATAAGAGACTATAAGAACCAATAGTATTTTTAAACATTCTGGACATTTTATTTCGTTTGTTAAACACGTGCCCGGTTGTAAATATATTTCAAAATTAATCGTTTGTCCAATTTGATGTTTTTTGTTTTTGTGTTCTTTTCTATTTAATTGTTCATTTTTTTCAAAAATTAAAACAGTGTTTTAATAATTTGAACACTAACGTCTTTTTTTTATTTTATTGCTTTCGATAAAAAAAGAAGTATACTAAAATTTTTATCTTTTATCTTTCTAATATTAAGTCTTTTATGAATGTATTCGTAGTCACAAAAAAATGTAGCATTGGAGAGAAAAGACGGGTCACTGGAAAATATTTATCGTAAGATAATTAGTCTTGTATCTCATTCGTTAGATTTAGAAGAAATTTTATTATTTTGAACATGTTCAACAAGAGAATATCTTCTAAAACACTCCTATTCACAGTCTGCATTTATTTTCGTTCTTATTAACAATAATAGACTATTATGTAATTTCATCATTAGAATAGTTTTTGTGTCTGAATTATCCATTTTACTATGAATTAAATTTCGAAACTAACGGAAATGTTTCTTTCGTTATTCAGCGGTTATTTACTAAACATTGAAAATAACTACTAACATATAATATTCGTATTTGATATTAGTAATTGTTTCAATTCTTTATTAAATGACGAAATATAATGAAAATGGATGATTTTTGGTAATAAAATGATGGTCGATAACGCATTTATATCTACTCAATTTACAATGAGAATCAATGAAGTCAAATAGGATATATTTTGGATTAACCAGTTGTAATTCATTTTGAATATTTTTCCCAATATCACATGTTATTTTTATAGACATTCTACGTTTACATTTTATGTTTGAATGACGTAGAAAAGGTAACTAATAACATCGAAAACAATTTCTAATAGTAGAAAAGAATCATCTTGACATTTGTAAATTTATACAGTACCAACTATTGGCGCTGTATAAATTTATAAATGTCATTAGAAAAAGTCCTGCCATTATCTCTTGCGAATCATCTCGATTCAGTGTTGTATCTAACGGGTGAGCCACAAATAATGACACTTGTTCTCTTTTCTTCCGAATGAGGTTCGAAGATTCCATTCTAAACTCATTCGATAGAGAATTTTCTGCTCTACAAACTTATAACGCATACTATCACTGCGTTGTTTGGCTAGTTCTTTTCCTGCTTTTTTCAAAATTCCACGTTATCCGAAAGTACAAATTAACTAGTGCACTGAAAGCTTCACAATTCGGGTGACCAAACGAATAAGCAGCGTAGTCTGGATGATAGTGCTCAATCCGCTGAATATTTTTATACCACCTTCTCTCAATTACCACATTAGTTCTCGAAAACTCACTAAAATTTTGATAGGAAATCGCAGTTATACTTTTTACCTGTCCGTACTATGCACTATTTTTTAAAATAACGAAATAATATCTAATGAATGAAGGAAATAGATTTTGTAGAGCAGAAAATTCTCTATTAAACAAGTTTAGAATGAAATCTTCGAGCGTCAGTTGTGCTCGGAAGAAAAGAGAACAAAAGTGTGTCATTATTTCTGACCCACCCATTAAAAATAAACGGATAACACAATTAGTATTCCATTACTCAAACTTATAAGAGCTGATATCATATTTATCGATCAAGACTATATTCGAATATTAACGTATGAAAACATGTGATTGTGATTGTTGTTCTTGAATAGCATATATAATTGGTGTTGTGGTTGAAATATTCTGTTGATGATAGACAACATTATTTTGATGAAAAACTTGAGTGTAAGTCGATTATATAGGGTGCTAAAAACAGAAGTATTTTGGTCTTAAATAGAATTATCCTAAAATAAATAAAAAAACTACGCATTTCACTTGAATCTCAACGAGAAATAATAATTATCGTTTGAATGTCACATAAATCTATTTGTTTTCTTTTTGATAAACTCATATTTTATCAATTAGAATGCGAATAATTGTTAAAAGAACTTCAAACTGTTTTTGATTAACAGATTGATTTGTTACAGACGGAATTATTCTCTTTGAAACTTACGAAATATCTAAGATATAAATATATAGAAAGAGCAAAGCAATGAAGATGACAGTTCTCTATTTTATAAAGTTGATGTTTAACTTTTTTGTTTTTCTCGTAAGAGCTGAAGCACAGCAATGATGTGACTTTCGTACTGATTAAATAGTTTTGACAAGGCAAAAATAGAAAGATGTACTTCATAAAACCCTTTCGTTATCTATTCAACTAATCACTTTATGGTTCAGCTATTTCTCCATTAGAGTGTTTTCTTGAAGTTAAGTAATTGTTCCACTATGATGACTAGGATGACTCTTTGAATCTATTCACATTCAGAGTCTCACTAGTCTTATACACACACCAGACTGGGTAATTATACATTTTTAATGTTTTCCCTCAAGTTACGATTATTTACCTTATTTGTCGAAATTGAAAATCATCTTCTACACAAGCAAATTTCAGCGATTTTGTTGTGTTGTTGTTGTTATTTCATACAAATTTGGCAATGATCGAGAATGCTTGACTGTTGTTGTAATTGTACTGTAGTAGTGCACTTGATTTATATTCTGTTTTTAATGTCAAAGTCAGTTATTCATTATTATTTTCATCGTCCTATTATGTTTTCGTTTTGAGTTAGCGACAACAAAAAAGGTATGACAGTGTTATAGTGTTTTTTAGTTTTATCGTCGTTTACAATCAAATTAGTAAATAAATAAAAGATCATAAATAAATTTTCTAAAATTATCTTCGATTATATAACGCTGTGCTTGTGTTATAGTCGTTTCTGTTTTATTCTTGTCATTTTCAAGAGAGAGTCATCATGAAGCATGTGCTCTTCTTTTCTGAATAGTTTATCAATCTATGTTTGTTAAAACATTTGTTGATCGTGCATAACATAAAAAAGTTTAATATAATAGCATACCACTAAATTAGTTTCATCTTAGAAAGAAATCCACTACAGTTTTCTAGCACTAAATTTTGTTAGTCTTTCTCTCTTTGTAGATCATTTTATCTGACATCATTGCACTGATTTGGTTGTTCATATTTTTAGTACCATTTTTCTTCGAACTCCATATAACTTTATTATAGTCGAGAACAAACAGTGAATTAGATAACGGAAACTTAAAACATTCTTTTCTCTCTCTGACTCATGCGTATTGAAAAGATTCATCATATAAAATCAGATGAATGTCGAACAAAATCTGGAAAAAACATTGCAAGGCTTTTCTTTGAAAAAAATAATAATTTCTATTATTACATTCATTCTTTTGTTGGATGACGGATTGCTGTGATAGTTTTTAAATAAAAGGATTTATTTTATCTTTTGTAAATGGTCAGAAGAAGTGGTATCGAGCTCTTGTTTTGAGGTTGAAAAGAATTTTTTGCTAATAGATTCACACTTTTTTCCACGTCTTATAGTGAATAACGATAGGGTCGCTAGAATCGCTGTAATACTGATGAACTTACGATGGAGTGGACTTCAGATAGAGTTATAAGTTATACAGGATACGTCGAAACTTTGATAAATCGTCTTCTGTATAATATGAATTCACTCTCTCCAGAAACTGAGCGAGTTATGTTTGTATCATCTATTGACAATCGATGCTTTATATTTGTTTTTAGTATCATAAAGGATCGTCCTTCGCTTCCCTCGCATCAATTTCCAGAGATTAAGAGAGCTTAAAAATATTGGAACTTTCTCTCTGACATATTTTTAAAATTAACAATTTTAAAGATTTTAAACAATAATTTACCACTGGACGTAAATTTTATGTTTAGCTCTGAAGTTGAGCTTCACTTAAACTAGAGCGAAAAAATAGTTGGAAAAAAAGAATGCAACAGCATCTTTTCTTCTGTCTTAGTCTTTGAATGTCACTGTGACTCTATTTTAGGACATTTGTGTCGTGTGTTTCAGTAATAAGATGATGGAAATTTGGTTGTTTGAATCGTTTCTTCATTCAAAGATCTCAATTCATTTGATGATCTTGAATTGCAGAATCTCAACAACCTTCGATTGTACTTAGAAGAATTCTTTAGATTCACTGATGAATATCTAATCATTATATAGACATAAATGAGACAAATACAGAAAGAACAACTACTACAAAGATAGTGTAAATTGATAAATCTAATTAGTGATTTCAATGAGACGTGCTAATAGGTTGCGCGAATATTGCTGTCTTCATTTATAAGTATATCGATATCTTCTATTATATCTTACATAGAAAATCTTTAGCTATGAATATTTTATGTTCATTTGATAAACAGACTTTCTGGTTCTTGATTTTTTTGCTTCGGATTTTATTTTGATTTATCTTATTACGTCTGAAACTATCTGTGTACTAGTTTGAAATATAAAAGTAGCATCAACAATAACAACAACTGGAATTAAAAATAGAAGACGAAGAGAATATATATCATATATAATTGTATGTCGACCATAGTAGTATAAAAACGACGAGAAAAACGTGAGTTTGTGTAAGAAGAAAAAGAACGAGACAAAAAGGAATTATCTTGCATCTTGGAAATATTCTCAGTAGCGTTATAAAGTTCATTTTTTTACAAAGAGAACGGAAGAAAGAAGAGAAAAAAGGCTTAGAGTATCCAGATTTTGTCCGTTCCTGTTATATCTGTATTTCATGTGAACATACACATTAGCAATAATAAGGCCAAGTCCGCTATAGTTTTTCTATTGGTCCACTCGTAGACCAGTTATACAAAAATATTTTTCATTCATTCATTCATTACTGTCTTTGTCTTTCTCTCTCTCTCTCCCTCTCTGTCTCTGTCTCTCCCTCTCTCTTGGAGTGAATCATACACACATACAAATATTGTACAAAGGGTCAGAGTACATCAAAGACGACGAGAGGAAAGAAATGAGAAAAAAGATTTTCTTTAGTAAAAAAAAAAGAAAAGTAATAATAACTAAAAAAAGAGTCGACAAGGTATATAAAACACATGCACTAGTATGGTTCAACATAGAGAAAGGAAGAGAGAGTTTGGCTAGCGGCATGTAGAAGAGAGAGAGAGAGACAGAGAGAAAGAGAGAGAGAGAAAAAAAAAAGCGTTGAAACTATGTATACACAGCGAAAGAGAGAGAAAATCATTTCTCTATTTCACTCTCCCATATTTATTTTTTCTAGTTTTTTTTTCTTATATCTTTTTTTTTTTCGATCTTGATATGGTTGATAGTGGTATGGTACTATACTAGAGTAGGCGTTAATCATTCATTTTCTTCCTGCAGCGGACAGCGGTAAGTCTCGACCTGTATATATATGTTCATCCGTTTCTTTCCCGTTACCTGTGTGCCTATGTGTGTTATATGAGCTTAAATAATAGAATGTATAGTTCATTCCTTCTTTCTTTTCTTAAGTATATATGTACTATACTGTACACAAATATCATTAAAATTTTTAATAAAAAAATATATCATCATTATCATGATTGATTGATTTAAAAGAAAATTTTTTATTCACTTATCATCATGAATGAAAAATTGATCGACTGTTATTACGGTATATAGAGTAGTAAAAAAAAGAGAAAATTCGATTAATCTAGCTCAATTGGCAGTTGAGACGACACACCTGGAGAAAAAAAAATTATGGTTAAAGATTAGTGGTTTTTATTGAGAAAAAAATGTAGACAGCTTTATGTGATAGAACAAAAAATGTAATTGTAAGACTAATAAGTTTGGATTTTCTGTTTCAGACGAATGTTAATTTCTTTTTTTCTTTTGTCAGCTGGGTTTTGATATTCAAACTTTTAGTGTGTGATATTCGAGATACTGTCACATCTGCTTACGTAAAAGATGTCACGTAGATATGGTGTCAAACATACTTCTGATTGAAAGATAGAATCAAGCTTTACAGTTTTCGATACGCTAATGAGAAAATTTTTCTTGAAATACTGCCACTTTCGCAATAAATTTTACTTTCATTGAGCTCATAACATTTGAAACAGGATCGTCCTTTTTATCTATTCTTCTTTTTCCTTCATTAGAACGAAAAAGGGCGAGTTAAGTTGATAGTGTGAAATCTCACAACTCGCCTTTTTCTAAAATGCATCTCTTTAGTTACAAATTTGTAATGTTGTAGAGTACTCAGATATTTCTTCTTTTAACGCAAAATGTGCTACATTTTTAGAAACAGCTACGATCAAATATCCTATTTACCGGTCTACTGGAAAAAATGTTTACTAAAAACTTGAAGTAATACTAGTTCCGGTACTTTCTTTACACTGATCTTTTTGTATTTTAGGATAAGAGGAAAAATAAGGACGAGGATGCAATATTGATATCATTTTTATTCAGCTTTCTGTTATTTTTTATCGAACATAACTAAACCTCTTCTTTTCTTTCGTTTATTATCTATATTATTATTTAATCATGCCTAGTACAGCTGTATCAGCTGACATTGATCATTCATCAGAATCTTCCACAACTTCGTCATCCTCTTGTTCATCATTATTAATCACATCACCGTCAGCATCGTCATCACATGATAGCTTATTAAATTCACGTCATTCAACAATTCAACAAGAATCAACGCATAATACCTCATTTGATTTTCATGATTTCAACTTACAACTTCAACAAATGTCCTCTACATTTAATAATAATCATGATACAACAGCTACACCAAATGAAGATGGTGGTAGTTTTGGAATATCTGCAGCAATGATAAGTATGATGGGTTTTGATCAAGAACATGCAGCATATGCTAGAAAAAGTCAGAATATGACAGAATGTGTTCCCGTACCAAGTTCGGAACATGTCGCAGAAATTGTTGGACGTCAAGGTAAAAAGTCAATGAAAAAGAAAAAATAATTCTAAAATTTTATAGAATGTTTTTATTTTAGGATGTAAAATAAAAGCATTACGTGCCAAAACCAATACTTATATCAAAACGCCGGTTAGAGGAGATGAACCTGTATTTATTATAACTGGTCGTAAAGAAGATGTTCATTTGGCTAAAAAAGAAATATTATCAGCCGCTGAACATTTTTCACAAATACGTGCAGCAAGAAAACAACAAGGAAATAATCAAAATATTACAAGTAGTGGTGCTACTAATAATAACAATGGCAACAATAATAATATAATGCAACAAAATTCATTATTATCCATTAATAATAATAGTAATCATCCAGGTGGTCTTACAATGCCCGGTAATTTAACGACAACAACGACGATGACAAATAAAAATAATAATCATGTTTTACCATCAGCTTCGATTTCATCGACATCGACAACATCTTCGAGTTCGTCTCTTCCATTAATACAACAGACTTCAGTTTTATCGCAATCATCTACATCACAAACAACCATACAAGTATGTTTATAAAACTATTTTTATAAAAACAGAGCACAAAAAAAAGTTTTGAAATATACTAATACGAAAGTGTTATTAGATTAATAATTCACACGTCTCATTTTCTTTTGTAATATAGGTTCGCGTTCCATATCGTGTAGTCGGATTAGTTGTTGGTCCAAAAGGTGCTACCATTAAACGTATTCAACAGACAACAAATACGTATATTGTTACTCCAGGTCGTGATAAAGAGCCAATATTTGAAATAGCTGGTCTACCAGATAATGTTGAAGCAGCGAAAATTGAAATCGAAAGTCATATTGCTGTACGTACGGGCAATACTGATTATTCTGGCAATCAATCCCCTACAGGTTTAAATGAACAACAAAGTATTATTAATCCGGCAAATATTTATGGTAATTTTGTTGGCTCAAATGGAGATAATGATTATGATCATTTGTACGTTGGTAGCAATAGTAGTTTACTTGGAAATGGAACGGATATAATCGATTTAAATAATCATTGTTCAAAATTAGGTAAATACACTCAAAAAATCCCGTACTTTTTCTAAGTAACTCCTTAGTTGACAAATGAGAGTTCTGTTAGTGTTTTATCTCCAGGTAATTCGTTCCCTGAACAGCTCTGTTTTGGCGGATATACTAGTCAATTGTTAACATTTTCGTTTTTACTTGTGTTTTAGGTAAATTATCATCGATTGTTAACAATAACAAATTATCGTCAAAATTTAGTCATCATTTATCGTTACCATTTCATCCCTCAAGCCCACATCAATCACATCGGCCTGCAGATATGTCATCTGGCTCAAACAAAACAATATCAGGAAATTACCATACACTATCACAGTCAAATTATTTTCCATTAAATGATTTTTCATCAACTGCTGCATCCATTACAAATGGAACAAATTCATCTTCATTTGATCATTTACTATGTGATACTTCATCACCCACAGCAACATCAATAACAGCACAGAATAATAATAATAATAATGATAATAATAATGATTTAACAACAATTTTAGATGGTTTAAAAACAAATTCATCATTATATGCTGACACAATATCATCAACATCTTCCTCTGTTTCATCATTATGGCCAACAGCTTCTTCATCAGCATCAAATTTATTTTCAACGACGATTACTTCACCAGTACCAACAACGAATGATGCCTTAGCTCAAGCACAGATGTATGGTGGTGCAAGTGCGACTGCATATTCATTTTATATGCCAAATCGTAGTCGCAGCGAATGTAGTATCGAATTGAATAATATGAGAAAATGTTTATCACCATTTGCTTCACTTAATGGCGGTGGTGTTGATGCCGTGGATAATAATAATCCTTCGGGAAATTTTCTTATGACAAATCAACAAACAATTGATACAAATAAATCATCGGTATGTATAACTTCGCGTATATACCCGCATTTGAAAACGTTAAATCAATGCATCTCTCGAGTCAGACAGAGTTCAGTTTTATTGTATGAGAAATCTACTTCCGAACTTTTTTTTTGTAAAAGTTGATTTGCCAGTGCTGAACTCTCTTCTTTTTCCTTCAAGGTACGTCGTATGCATAGCGATCCATTAGTTAATAATTATTCATATTTACAATTCATATCAACACAGGAAAATTTTCCACTTATGTGTAACACAACTGATATCAATAATAATTCATTGATCGATGCATCCTCATTATTATTATCTCCATCAGCAGCCGATATAGTTCAACAAGATCTATTTTCAGGTGTACCATCATCTACCTCAACAACAACAAGATCAATGACACCAACATCAGCTGCATCATTGAATGATCAACAATCATCATTGAATACTTTATTTGCTCATGCAGTTCAACGTCGTTTGAATGAATCATCAAACAGTTGTAAAACAAACACAACCACTACAAATTATTTATCACCCTCGTCATTTAACTATCAACCATGTTCACAATGTGGTCAATTAACATTGACTTCAATGACACAATGTGGTCATTTCTGTTATTGTCTTGATTGTGCTGCTCATTCATCAACAACAAAATATTGTCCATTATGTAATAATAATACATTTGGTGCTCAACATGTCACAACATATTAAAAAGGTGTGTAGTTTTTCTTTTCTTTTTTTTGTGTGCGCGCAATATAGATGTAGATGAGTTCAAAATTCACATTTTCTCTTTTCCTCGTTGATTCATTGTTGCTGTTTGTTGTTGTTTATTTTGCTGCTGCAGATACGAAAAATCTCTAAAACACAAAAAAAAAACTATAAGATTTATCTGTTCGAAGAGAGAATAGTTTATTCTTTTACTTTTTATACGTATATTCTTTCTATAAGAGATATATTGATATATCCTGTTTTTTTCATTTAATTTCATTTCTTTTGTGTGCATGTGTCCTCTAAGAATCACTCTTCTATATAATAGAGATAAATAAGAGAAAGAGAGAGGGAGAGATCTGCTATTTTGTTTATCTATTTTCAGTTTATTTTTTGTCTCTGCGATCTTGAGAATATCTTATACTACCTTCTTTTGTTGTTGTTGTTGTTGTTGTTGTTGCTGTTGTTCTAGTCTTAGCTAGTCAAAAAACATACACATACATACACACATGATTTTGGTTAGCGCATGTTATAAGCAGATTCTCTAAGTAGAAGTATTAAAAATATGGTCAAACACGCACAACATTTTTTTCGTCAGGGATCTTTTTTTTAGTTGCTGAACGCATTGCTTCAATTTTTGTTGTTTCACGTTGTTGTTCATTTATTTATTATTATTTATTTAAAAGGCAAGAAGAAAAAAGTTTCTAGTGTGCTCATTGTCATATATAAATTTAATAGCACGTGTTTCTTTTATATCATCAACAAATTTTTTATCTAGGAAAAAAAGGTGTTCGTGTTGTTCCCTTTTTTAATATACTATTGTTAGCCATAACATGTGCATGATTGATTTTTAGTGTTTATTTATATTTTTTGCTTATTATTTGTGTTGTTCATAGGGAATAAGATCGCTTACACACATATGTAGAGTTTGTTTGTATGCGCACACCCATTATTATTTAGAATTAGTTGCTTCTTTTTTTTTATTTTTCTATCCATTATTTTGTCTATCTTCGCGGCTCGTTGACGGCGAACAAACTAAACACACATTTATGTTCAGGGATTCAGATTGTTCTACTTCTCTTTTGTTTGTTTTATTTTGTATGGGCAAAACAAATCTATCTTTTTTTATTTCAGGTATCGTGCTCGTTTTTTTTTTATTTTATATATTTTTGTCGTTGTTGGTGTCAAACATCCACCCTGTCATCCATCAGTTTTTGTGTGTTTTATTTATTTTTTTCATTCTTTCCGTCTATCTCAAAGGTGGTACATATATATATATATTTTTGTTTGTTTGTTTGCTGTTATATAGATTTATCGTTTTTTTTTTTTTTTTTTGTTGATTTCATCACCACTGCCCGTACACATACACATAGGTCATACCTAATCACACTCAGGAAAAAAAGTATATATATATACATATATAGATCTATATAGATATAATTTTAAATAAGAGAAGAAAACAAACAAAAAATTTTTTTTATTCAGGTGTATGTGGTTTTGATTCGTGTATGTGTGTCTTTAGATACTATTGTTCTTCTTTCTTTTTTTGCTTTTTTTCTATTTTTCACACATTGTCAAAAAAAACACGTAAAACACTTAATAAAATTTATTATCTAAAGATAAATTATATATGATACTTTGTTATATTCATTCAACAACGAATTTTAATTTATAGATTTTACTTGAATGGGAATGTAATGGGACTGTTCTTTGACAGACTGACTGAGACGAATAGTTAACCTTGAGTTTGCTAGACTGAACGTTAAAAAATATTTCCAAGGTGGCCTAGTTAAGTAACCCCTTGCGTTATTTCTTTGGAGAAAGTCATGAAATACGAAGAGAATTGGTTTTCGAGTTGATCATCAAATTTGTTCTTAATTCGTGAGCAGTATGTTTACTTTGACTGTATTTTGTCTGCTAATCTATAGTCAAGAAGTCGATGCCTCTCCTTGCCTAATAAAAGTCTAGAAAAAAATTTAGAAAAGGCAAGCAAAAACATTTTTTTTACTTGGAAAGATTCTAATGATGCGTCTCCTACTCAGTCTTCTCGAGACATCATTTTTGTGTTTTTCTTCATTGGTATGATGCCTTGATCGATTAGTTTTTATGATTATGGCCTTGTATAAAAAAGAAAATATTTTAGAAAATATGATGCCCTTGCTATCGTATTTAATTTGCACCGAACACGATTGCGATCATTATTATTATTTTTCTATTTTGTTTGATATATATTTCTTTCGGATACGAAGTCGAAGAATTAAAATAATACGAACACAAACGTTGAATGAGTGTATGAAGTTAATATTGATGAGAAAAGCTAGTTGACCATTTTTTTTGTTTGTGTGCATGTTACCTAGTTCTAGAACGTTTTTCGCCAAGTTCTTTCTCGAATATGTAAGTTTATTTTGATGATTACCATCAGAATAGCTCAAATAGCAGTTTTTTCTTCAATCTCTATTTCTTTTACGGTCTTATTGATACAATATCTGATTTTCGATTATTTATTTTACTTTTTTTTGTTGAAAATCAGATGATTACTGCTATGTGAATTCTAGAGATCGGCAAATCAGTGGAGAAAAACTGTATATACGCATACACATCTACCTGATGTTATCTAAAGTATATTGATAAGTTACTGACAAACTTTTCTTGTTATTGCTGTCTATGCACTGTACTTTTGCATGTGATACTTGAACATATGATCAACTTAACTCTCCAACTTCAAGCATCATCACTTCATGTCAATTTTCTCTGCATGCATTCGTTGTATATCCTTCTGATAATAGCAACAAAAAAAAAAAAAGAAGAAAGACCTACTTTTTTTTATAACTGCATCCAAACAATATTTTATGGGGTTCATCTAACGGTCATTCCTGTGTAGGAGAAAAGAAGGAAAAAAAACGAGTCAATTTGTCCTCTCTATACGTACATATCTATCACATTTTCTAATAATGATGATAATGACGGCGGCGACAGTAAAGTTTCTATTCTTAAAAAAGTTAATTGCATTTTACTCTTCATTCTCATGTTAATATATAGTTCTATATAATTACCCATATAAAAGAGGGAGTTTATTTCATGATTTTAGAAAAAGTACTATTGCCTTCAAGCTAAACATTCCAGTTTCAGTTGTAATGTGTTTTACTTGTTCTTTAGTCATCAAGTAGCATTTCAAATAGACTTTTTTGTTTTATTTCTCTCGATTTAGTTTAACATTTTTCTATGATCAAGTTTCTTCATTTCTATTCCTTGTATATATATATATATAATATAGTTGATGCCAATTTTACGTTGATATTACATCACTTAAGCTTAAAATTAAAAATATTTTAATAAGAATGGGATTAGTTATCTAATATCAAATTTTTGAACTTTCAGCTGTTTCAACAAAGATCTTTATCTTCTGGATTATTTAAATAAAAACAATCTTAGTCCTCTATTTTTAGTTGATTTATATGAATATACGCCTTTGGAAGTGTTTTTTAATTGTGCCAAATGTTTTATCTTTTCTTTTCTTTTTTTGAACGTACAACTGATTATTATTTTTTAGTTGAAATAAACATCTGGTATGGTAAATTAACCGTTCACTAAAAAAATTAATTCATGTTCATCAAGACTGATGCCATACTTATTATCTGAACTGTACTTTATCACATCTGGCAACTGATTGAACTTCATGATCGATATTGAAATGAAAGAAAAATAACTTCTAACGTTCTCACATTATATCATTGTCCAAATGTTGTTTTAAAAGAAAAGAAAAACTCAATAATAATAATTATTGAAAGAAAAATTGAATGTCTTTGAACTCGTCAAAACGTGATAATTTTCGTTTTGTGTGTTTTATTAGTATATGCACGTACTTGTGGCAACTGTTCGATGTATATGCAATATTTTTGAAAGATTTTTTTTCTTCAAATCACATTAGGAATAATAAAATAACATAACGTTGCTGTTAATCATCATTAAAAAAAAACTGCTTATATTCGTTCTAGTTAAGAAGAGAGTGTCGATTTCATAAATATTGAAACAAAATCAAAATGACTATTATTTGATTATAATTTTTAATAAATTTTTTCTAAATATGTCAAAATTCCATAGTATTTTGAATTTACTTATGCTATAAATTTTGTGAATATCATTCATAATGAAAGTTATGTGTTTTTTGTTTCATCTATTTCCCTAAATGGTAGTTTATTCGTGTTGGTATCTAGAGAGAAAAAATATTTTAATACGCATTATCTTTCTTCTGTTATTTTTTCTTGGCTTAAAAACAGATTTGCAATATGTTATTCATGAAAATAGTACGTAGTATCTACTATTAGAGAAAAAAATAAATAAAAAAAGAGATAAGATAGTAGTTTGTCTGTCTGATGTATTTGTTTTTCTGTAAACGAGCTAGATTTACGATTAATGTATAAACAACTATTAGATATCTGTCACATGTTTTGGTTTCTTTTTTTAATAAGAGCAATGAATCTTAGTCAGTGTCAAAAATTTCGATTATATCCTGTCAAATTGTGGTTATCAATAGAAACATAGCGCAGATAAATATTATTCATACAGTTCAATCTAGTTCTTATTTTAAATTTGTCACCAATATTTTGTATGATGAGTGAAGAATTAAATTAGAGAAGAAAAAAAAAAACTTACATGAAAATATTTGTTTTTCTAACTTTATAATTTTGACTTTAATGTCAATTTTTTTTTATATTTTTATTTTTTCTATCTTCTTGCATAAGGATTCCTCTCTAAAAAGTTTATTTCTTTTAAATTTTAGTCTTGACGATGTTTGTCATACATATCTAGATCAAAATAATCACATTTAAATATATCTGGTAGAAAGGGAGAAAAAAGTTCAAACATAGTCAAATTGAGTCGTTGTTTTTTTTTTTCTATGTTACTTTTTATTTACTGTTCTAATTGTAAATACTGTACTCATTCACACTGATTTATTTAAATTAGGACAACATAATGTATAAATGAATAGTAGGATGAATGTG